CATTGTTAAACTAAAGTGTAGGTATAGATGTCATTTTCAGCATTTTCCTCTTGAGGACGAATCAGATTTGCTGGTTTTTCTGGTTCTTCTCCTTTGAGTTTCTTATTCATTTCTGTAATAACAAGTAAAATTTTAAAAACAGGTTTGATAAATTGTCTTGGGAATTGACTGTTCACTTATTGAAAAATAAAAACCCTATCTCATACCATATATAAATTTTAGTTACATTAAGTGGACTAAAAGCGATGTTACCAAGACAAAGGTGGGTGACTCTAATCCGCAGCCCTAAGGCCTGTTTTTCATTGTTTTTGTTCAAACAGTCTTCTAGGTCGTATAGCCCTCGTGTGTCCACTTGCCATACAGAGGTAAGCTGAACTGTGAAGCTGAACACTGACGTGTCAAATGCATTAATGGTTACCCATGGTGGACAGTGTTTGGTGGCTCTCTCCGGTTGAAACAAGCTTGGAAGCAGGAGTGGCATCCACTTCCGTAAATAGCTTGCCTCTGGAAACCCTATAAACCTGGAGAAAGGATGAAAGTCACACACGCAAGTGTCGAGGGCTTTCATTCATAAGGTCGCTGTGAGTCGCCTACAACTCAATGGCACTTAACAACAACAATGACATAATTACGTATAGAATAGTTTTATATGCCTAGGATTATACAGGTGTTTCTAATCATAGCCACAGAGACCAGACATCAAAAAAGAAAGACTGATGTTTGACTAGTTAAAAATTAAAATTCTGTATGGCAAAAGCACAATAACAGAGCTAAACAACAATTGGGAAAAACATCACACTCTACATGTAAATAAAGGTTTAAGAACTGTACTATCTAAAGGAATTTTAAGTCCATGATAAAGAGGCAAAAATCTCAAAATGAAAAATGGGATAAGGATTTTTAACAGGTAATTCGTACACACAAACAAAATTCATATTTGCAATAATCACAAAATGATGTCTAGTGGTATTACTGATCAAAGGGGGAATTAAAACAATGATGTTTCACTTGAAAAAACAAACCAGCAGACTTAAAAATTCTTCTAAATGTAGTAACAGACAATGCTGGCAAGCATGTGTGGAAAAGGCACTTTTATCAAATCTTGGTTTGTTGGAAATTGTTACATTTCTGGAGGCTTGTTGGCTAAGTAAATCCAGTCTTTAAATATTAGTAGGCTTTGACCCAGCAATTCCACTTTTATCTTTTTTTTTAAATTTGTGTGTGTGTGTGTGTGTGTGTGTGTGTGTGTGTGTGTGCTGTCAAATGAGATTTGACTGGTACAGGAAGAAATTGTCTCTCCTTCTCCAGCAGAGCATCTGGTGGACCAGCAATTCCACCTTTAAGGACATGTTATTGTTATTTGAATCTAGATGGATCTTGGCTGAAAGCGAAGAGTACCAAGCAGAGAAATATCTATCTGTGCTTCATTTACTATACAAAAGCATCTGACTGTGTAGATCACAACAAGCTGTGGCTAACATTAAGAAGAATGGGAATCCCAGAACACTTAATTGTGTTCATGCAAAGTCTATACTTCAACCAGGAGGCAGTCATCAGAACAGAGCAAGGAAACAAGCACTGCATGGTTCAAAATTAGGAAGAGAGTGCATCAGGGATGCATCCTGCCTCCATAGCTTCTCAATCTGTATGTGGAACAGATAATTTAGGAGGCTGAACTTTATGAGGAAGAGTGTAGCATCAGAATTGGAGAAGGACTCATCAACAACCTGCATTATGCAGATCATACAATCTAGATTGCTGAAACTGAGGCGAGCCGGAAGTATTTGCTGCAGAAGGCCAAGGACTGTAGTCTTCAATATGGATTGAAGGTTAACA